ACCCATAGTTTTAATACAGCACAACATGAGGACAGGAATGCTAAATGCAATCCACAGCACTTATAAGATATTGTGAAGCATAAGAACAAAACTTAAGATGTCCTATTCTAGATACCATTGAAGATAAATGGCTGAATGCAACTGGGGGGAGAGGACTGTCAGGGAACTGGTTACAGGTCCCTGATTTCCTGACCTATCTTCAAACCCAGAGCAGGTTAGAGCAGCCATCTCAGAATACAGACACCCATGACTTTTTCCATAACAGAATTAATGTACATCCATCTGCATCCAAAAAATTAAATTAGGCTCTTAATTTGTCCCTAGCTTTAAGTCTTAGTTAGGGACAAATAGCACACTATTGACATATAGGGAATGCAATCCATTCCTGTTGACAGATTTAGCCTTAAGTACTAAACTTCCTTGATGGGCATGCAAAGAGACTCCTGTCTGAAGAAATGTCTCTTGATATTTTCTCTTATTAAATCAAACTTTCTGTGAAAAAGACATTATAGGCGACATTTCCAGTCTGATACATAGGATTTGGAAAGCTCAGGTTTAATACTATTCCACAGATGGGCTTGAATGAATTCTGGCTTAATATGACAGCAGGGTAATTTTTAATAATTGCTTAGTTGAGTGACCATCAGAACTGAGGAAATGAGCTAATAGTATCTGTACTTTTTATTATCTGCTATGATATTTAGATTTATAGCAATAATTTCAGTATTTGGGGAATGAATTTGCTGCTCAACTTCCTAGGAAATGCAAAACTGGATTGTTATTAATTAAAATATGTTATGGTACAATTACAGCATGTGAAGCTGTTGAATATATTTCAAATACTCCTAAAATTACCTCTCATATAATTTTTTTCTTATTATTGAGGGTTTAGAAGTCTGATTTGATTCTTTTGGGTTAACGTGATTGGATATATTTCCTGTAAAGTTATTAGAATTAGATAAAATTTGAAACCGATGAGAAAACCGTTTAAAATATTTACAATTTAAAGCTGTTAAAACTAAAGAGGATAGTACACCGCTACCTCGATATAACGTGACCTGATATAACACGAATTCGGATATAACGCGATAAAGCAGTGCTCCTGGGGGAGGCAGGGCTGCGCACTCCGGTGGATCAAAGCAATTTCGATATAACGCAGTTTCACCTATAACGCAATAAGAAAAATTTTGGCTCCCAAGGACGGCATTCTATCGAGGTAGAGGTGTACTAAGTTGTGAGTGGGAGCCTTGATTTTAAAAAAGGTGTTTTTCTTCACAGAAAAGTTGAAGTATTAGAAAAGCCACTGCCTCTGGCTAAGACCAATAACTCACATGTGTTGGATTTTATCAAGAGCCTCAAAGGAAAGGAGTTGTGCAATTCTATGACTGTTTTTTATTTGAGACTCAGTCCCCACCTATTCAAATAACTAAACTTCCTCATGTTCCTAATAAGGGAACTCAAAAAAGTAGTTACTGGGGAATCTTCATTGAATGTTGGTGTTTCTAGAGAGATTCTGCTGGGCTTAGGCTTGACAGTATTCAACATTTTTATCAATGATTTGGAAATAAATATAATGGGCTGATAAAATTTGGGGATGGCACAGACTAGTGGAGTGGTACACCTCTACCCCGATATAATGTGACCTGATATAACACAAATTAGGATATAACGCAGTAAAGCAGTGCTCCGGGGTGGGGTGGGGGCTGTGCACTCCGGCGGATCAAAGCAAGTTCGATATAACACGGTTTCACCTATATCGCGGTAAGATTTTTTGGCTCCCAAGGACAGAGTTATACCAGGGTAGAGGTGTAAATAGTGATGAGGACAGGACAGCCATACAGAGCCACCTGGATCTCCTGGTAATCTGGATATTTTCAAACAAAATGTGTTTTAGTACAGCCAAATGCAAGATCATATATCAAGGAGGAAAGGATACAGGCCATATCTACAGTAGCCTAGAATTATAGTAATGTAGTACTGGAAGGGACCTCAATAGGTCATCTAGTCCACTTGCACTGAGGCAGGACTAACTATTAGCTAGATCAGTGGTTCTCAAACTTTTTGTATTGGCAACCTCTTTCCCACCACAAGCCTTTGAGTGTGACCCTTCCTCCCCCTTATAAACTAAAACACATTTTTATATTAACCCTATTTTAAATGCTACATTTATAACTCTACTGTTTAAAATGAATTTACATTTTCTCGTTGCTTTTAAATTAAGACCAAAACACATTTTATCAAATTAATGTTATAAACAGATTTTTTTTAAATAATTATTGTTTAAGACAGGAGGGATGTTGCAAAGAAACTTTGTCAATATGACTTTTTGCAGCAAACTTGTTAGCTAGCTGGGAGGCTGTGAAAAGTGATATTAACAAACATGCAAATATCACTTTTTACAGCAGACTTAGAGTCCCATGCTACCCTTACTTGTCTGTAACATTTGACCTTTGCAGTGGGAAGGGAGGTTATGGGGGGAAGGCTAATGCAAATTTTGGGGTGGGTTCAAAACAGTCTGGGATGGGGAATCATCTCCCACCCCTCTCTACATAAAAATCAATCTGTTTAGTTTTTCAAAAAGATTGCAAAACGACTTGATTACAGTGTATAACCACTTTCAGGATAGAAAATGATGGATACTAAAGGTCTCTTTACTCTAGTGGAGAAAGGCATAACAAGAACCTATGGCTGGAAGCTGAAGCCAGACAAATTCAAATTAGTTACTGAAACTGAATGGCCTTTGAAATACCAGAGATCAGACTAGACAGAGGATCTAATGCTCCCTTCTGGCCTTAGAATGAATGATTCTCATTAAAATTTCAGAGTGGTAGCCATGTTAGTCTATATCAGCAAAAACAACAAGGTGTCTTTGTGGCACCTTAGAGACTAACAAATTTATTTGGGCATAAGCTTTTGTGGGCTAAAACCCACTTCATCAGATGTGTGGAGTGAAAAATACAGTAGGCAGGTATATATATTACAGCACATGAAAAGATGGGAGTTATCTTACCAAGTAGGGGGTCAGTGCTAATTAGGCCAATTCAAACAGGGTGGACGTGGCCCATTCCCAAGAGTTGACAAGAAGGTGTGAGTATCAACCGAGGGAAAATTACTTTTTGTAGTGACCCAGCCACTCCCAGTCTTTATTCAGGCCTAATTTGATGGTGTCCAGTTTGCAAATTAATTCCAGTTCTACAGTTTTTCATTGAAGTCTGTTTTTGAAGTTTTTTTGTTGAAGAATGGCCACTTCTAAGTCTGTTATTGAGTGTCTAGGGAGATTGAAGTGCTCTCCTACTGGTTTTTCAATGTTACAATTCTTGATGTCTGATTTGTATCCATTTATTCTTTTGCATTCTACCAATGTGATATATGCCATCATGTGCCAGAAATGCCCCTCTCCCATGTACATTGGCCAAACCATAGAGTCTCTACACAAAAGAATGTTCTGCTTTTTTATTTTTAAGTACCTTTTTTATCTTGATTTGGCTCAGTTTAAACCCCAAGGTTTTCCAATTTTCTCAAGGCTCTAAACCTTTCTTTTTTTCTTTTATTACTGTTATCCCTTTTCATGGTATATGGACATTGAGCTCAATATTTATTATTAAAAGATATGTATCTGGTAATCATAACTGTAATGTTTAAAAAAACAAACTTCTCAAATTTCAATTGTACTTCTAATCCCCCTAAGGGAAGAGTGAGCTACATACCATTTCATAGAACCACTATGTAGTTCAAGGATTTTTTTCTTTATGTGATTTTTTTTTTAGCAAACTTGTATTTAAAGTGCTCAATGTGCTTCTCAGCTGGTTCATTTTAGCTGCATGGAGCCTGAAGCTTTGGATGCAAAGTATTAGCTGTAGATCTGTCAACCCTTGTTATAACAAGCAGTAGCATCAATTGCTTACGGGACAAGAATTCTCCACAAGCTTTAATTGGGGCCGACTGAATAATTTTAAAACATGTGAAAGGTCCTTTTCAAAAGAAAAGGGGTTTGAGTATTTAAGTCTATATTTTATAATATAACATGGTACTGAAAAAAATCAAACTGAAGTGTGTCTCATATAATAACTCTCCTAATCAGGACTCCTACTGGCACTACGAAAGGTCAGTCTTCCCCTGAAATCTGAATTTGTTCACAAAGTTGAGAGAGATGAAATCTGTTTTCTTTACTTTGGTAATGTCATTGGACATGTTCACCCATGGTGGCAGGCCAAATCAAAGGCAGGATAGCAGGGGTAGCTAAAGTGCAGCACACGGTCTACAGTGTGCTCTGTGGTGAGCCTCATTTTCAGTACAGAGGGATTGCCCATGGAGACACCAGGTACCAGCACAATAAATGCCATCTTGATCTGTGCTGGTCGTACCTCCATATTTGTTAAAAAAGAGAGCAACTGTATTCTGTTCTATTTTATGCAAAGTATGTGTTGCCTTTGGGCTTCTGACATGTTTCCAATGCATCCAATGCACATTTCCTAATGTGACTAAAGTTTGGAAGATGCTGAACAACTGTATATCTCTGCCAAGGTGCATATGATGATCTATATTAATGTTTACTCATAGAAGATGACTTCTGTGATTTTAATTTTTTGAGTCAGCTACATTCTTGGTTTTACTCCACTGAAGTTCTTGCCAGGGCCTAACCCAAGGCCCTAACCCAAAGCCCACTAAAATCAATGGAAAGACAGGCTACACTTCCTCTCAATGATTAGCACTTTATTCCTCATGTACACCCATTCATTTTAGTGTGAGTAAGACTGGCCGAAACTGGCCATTGGCTTGGAAACAAAGCAATAATTAATAGAATTTTAGTTAAATTGTTATTAGTGGATAAAACTTTTAAAATGTATATTTTTTTAGATATCTGCAAGAGTGAAAATGTTAATCTGTCATATCCTGAAAGCTCTACACAAGAGAAATATCTAAAATCTTCTGCTTCCTTACTTGTGTCATGTTTCTTTTTCTCTGTATTTGACTGTCTTGATGATCTTTGTTTTTGATTGTTTGCAGACATCTCAGTCAGTCTGCTAGCAGTAGTCGTCAGCTTCTGTGGGCTTGCCTTGCTGGTAGTCTCGCTATTTGTCTTTTGGAAGTTGTGTTGGCCATGCTGGAGAAGCAAACCTCTTATTTCTAATACCAGTAATATCCCTCAAAGCACCTGTAGTGCTCCCGCTGAGGTTTTTGAAACCAACGAGAAAAAGGAAATTAAAGAAAATGGGAAACCTTCAGTGAAGGTTCTTGAGGCTGCAATGAAAATTAGCCACACTTCACCTGATATTCCAGCAGAAGTCCAGAATGCATTGAAAGAACATCTAATTAAACATGCACGCATGCAGAGACAGATCACTGAGCCTGCATCCTCATCAAGGTAAGGAAAACACAATTTAATGGCAATTTATAGAGTATAGATACGAGCCAGAGCATTTTGTTGTGAATTAAGGCCTCAAAATCGGAGCGTTCTCAGTCCAGTGCTTACAAGTTTTCGGTAAAACAGTCATATTAAGCCAAAGCATCAACATTTCTGCAAAGTTTTCAGTAAACAGCCATAATGAACACGCTCTCAAAAATGAATATTTAAATTAAATTATTTCATTGTTTATAAATGCAAAGATCAAGTCTGTCTGTCGCTATTGTACTTAAATATGTATTTGTACATGTGACACATTTCCATACAAACTTTTATTAAGGAAGGATCTTTTAGGGCAATTTGCCAGAGCCAGGCAAGCTTATAGGACATCTCCAGCTTTCAGGTACAATCGGTATGCATATTTTTACAGTTCCATCAACTGAAAATTTGACTCATAAAATAAATTACAAACATGTGGTTGATGCACATTTCTTTAAGATGTGGATTGACATTTTAAAAGGATTAAAAATTCCACACTCAGCAAAATATATCTCTTTGTGGAATATTCCTAATACATTACACTTATAATACAGAGGGTTTTTTTAATAAATCTGAAGCAGCTCCGAAAGCCCTGTTACAATTTAGAGAATACCAACTGTTTGTCCATTTTAGGAACTGGATTATGTCAATATGTGGTGAACTAAAGATATACTGTGACACGTAGCAGTACCTGTAGTATCAACGAATTTTTTGTGACTTAAGTATTTAATGCACATCAGACATGTAAACAGTGAAATACAACATCACTCACTACATCTGAAATAATTTAGCAATGCTTTTTAGACACAGGGAAAATTAAGCTGGGGAAGAGAGATGCTGTGAATCATGACATAAATGAAACCAATAAATGCTAAATATAAAGTATTTCATTTATGCTCAATAAATGATTTGTACTATGTACACTTGAAACTGAAGCAAAAATACATGAACGTTTCAGGCAAATGTTGAAGATGACATCTTGAGACAGATTCTGGGCCCCACAGTGGCCCAGTATATATGTACATAGACAATCTTCTATTGACCTCTTGTGCATAGGGATTTGCTGGGGGAATATTGTGAATGGGATGGTGAGTGGCTGGAGTGCTTTGTTCTGCTACTGTTCCAGGCTGTGAAGCAGCCATGTAAGGTTGTCATAAATCAAAACATTCCTGGGGGAAGGTCTCATTCACACCAGGAACTGCACAATCCTCTTAAACATCCTTGAATTAGGAAGGTGCATAGATGGCTTAAAGCCATCTTTTTCTCCCATATTGTCTGGGCTCCAAGTCCAGTGCTCCACTTCCTAAGAGGCGGAGCACAGAATCTGACTTGTTACATGAAACATTTTTAAAATGCTGGAGAGACATCCATGAAATCATAACTGTCATTCTGGCCAGAGAGCGACCAAAATTGGTACTATTTAACATGACGAGAATATTACATAGAATAGTTTGATATTAAGTGGAAGGTTCTTGTCCATACCATCACTTTTCATGCCTCAAAATCTCCATCAGGTAGTGTAAACCTCCAAGAAACATCAGTCAATGAATAGAAGAAACATCTAGCTACACAACAAACCCAAGTACTATGTGTGGTATCATATAGGAAAAGAAACAGCTCCTAGGATCCTGATCCAAAGCCCATTCAAGTCCATGGAAGTATTCCTGTAGATTTCTAATGGGCGTTGGATCAGACCCTAAAACCATAAAAAGTCTTGGAGCTGGGGACAATCTTAAGGAGTATAAGCAGTGATTTCTCCTCTTCTCACTGGTATCAGCTGGTAGTGTTTCCAGGGAGTCTTTCTCTCTGCTCATTCCAGATTATCAAGGCGAAAAATTCACTCAGATTGGCCTTTCAGCTCTCCTGGCTTTGGAGCTGCCATTTGACAGTAGGATCTTTGGAGACATAGCCCTTTTAGGGTTCCCCTCAAAGCCGAGTGTCTATCATACAAAATACTTTCTTGTGTATTTTTAGAATCAGATCCCCCATAAAAGTTTCACAGTAGCGTTCCACATGGTCCTTTCTGTATTTACAAATACCTTTTCCCCATACCTATACTTGTTTCATATAGCTGTTTGCCTACTGCTCCTTGAACCTCTCACGCTCAGTAGTGTAATTATCATGATTCAAAACTTTATATATCAGGAGAGCAGACACAAAGGTCAATTCTCTGGATTGCTCAGTCTCTTTTGTGTCACTCTGAGAATCTGGCTACAGCTTCCTTCTTAGGATACCTGTAGTGGTAGGAGAGTCCCTAGCAGGTATAGAAGTGGTGCAGCTGGCTTCTACACCACTCTCAGCAGAAGCACTATTCAGCAAAGGCATGTCACAACAGAAAATAACCAGAATGCATTGCACTCAGACCATCTGCCAGCTGAGCATAGCCAATCAGTAAAGTTTGCCAGGTGGCTAAAGTTAGAGTAGCTCCTAGGCTTCTCTAACCTGTACTGGAGCAGAGAATTAGGGAGTGTAACCAACCCTTAATATCCCCCATTACCTATGCTGAACTTAGATTTAGAGCAGAAGATCTGGACAGGAGTCTGTCATGCAAATGAGATACATTTTTGGTCTTCTTGCATTAGTTAATTGTTAATAAAACAAATTGCATGATATTAACTGATTATAACTATAATTGTATAATAAATTATTCAAAACCTAACAATATGTCTGGTCACAATTTATGGATAGTATTTTTAACACAGAGACATGTTCAGGAAAACAATGTTTCTCAGCTTAACTGGAACATTTTATATCATTGTCATAGTTTGTAATAATATGAAGAAGGTTGGCTTATTAAAAAAAGTCATTCTTCAGTGTCTTGGTCCCAATTAAGCAGTAAACTATAACAGGGTGAACATTTCTGCACCACTGTTGCACCTCTTGGGTACATTTTGGCTTTGTACCTTCATCCACTTGAGAACTACGCTCACTAGAGGCCCAGGAACACATATGTTATGTAAATGATTACTGATCATTTACATTTTCAGAAAGGAAACAATAACTTTTTAAAAATAATTTTGAGCTATTTATTGTAACATAGCCATCCATTCTGGATTTCTTAGTGGGGCGTAAGTTACAAAGTTACCCTTACCTACATTTGTTTTCTAACAAATTTAATCTAACTTCATCTTTTAAAAAAGTTCTTGAATTGTTTGGTCTCTTTCTTCCCCAGGATACCAGAAGTCCTTTCAAAAGCAGTTTGTGGCCCTCTGGCCATTTGCAACTTTAGTTTAACTACTGAAAAATCTAAACTGGGTTTATTAAACAGCCCTTGATTTAATTCGCTATAACAGAAGGTGAGAATTGAAACTATCAAGAAGTACAATCCATAGCATCGCTAAAAGAGAAGTTGGTCTCATGGTAGAAAATATTAAGTTCCTCTTTCCTACTCTGTGACACTCCCAAATCAATTCCTTCAGCCCAGCTTCTTTCTTTCCTCTTCTTTCCTTCCTCCAGCTCATCCGCTGAGATTAACTAAATAGGAGTTAAATTTAAAGTAGCTTTTGCAGTAGAGATTATTTGCTTTTTAAGAAATTAATCAAACTAGAGAAAGGAAGGGGGTAGCTGAAATCTGCAGGAGGCAGCTACTGCCTAGTGGGGTGAATGCAAGACTATGAGGAGTCTCAGATTCCATTTTTAACTCTGCCACTAACTCACTGTGTGAGCTCGGGAAAGTCACTAAGGCCAAATCTGCAAAGGTAGCTTCTAACTTTGGATGCTTCCATTTTTGGGTGCCCAAGTTGACATGCGTACAAACAGATTTTCAGAGGTGTTGAGCTCAAAACTCCTACTATAGTCAACAGAGATAGCAAAAATAGAAGAGTTCCAAAGGCAGAAATGAAAATCTTTCGTGGCATGGAGAGACTTTGCTATGAGGCGATATTGAAAAGACTGGGATAGTTCAGTTTAGAGAGGAGAGGAATAAGAGGGGAGATAATAGAAGTACACAAAATAATTCATGGTAAATTGGGTGCATCTATTTACCCTTGCTTATAATACAAGACCAAGGGAATTTTCAACAAAACCGAAAGGCAAGAAATTAAAAGCTGATGGAATGGGAAAAAAATGCAGGGCAAAATTGACCTATGGAACTAATTACCACAGTAGGATTCAGACTAGGAGTCTAGGATTGAAAAAAGGACTAGGCATTTATTTAGATAATTAGAACATCATAGTTATATTATATGATTAAAAATAAGAGAGAGAAAATCTTATGCTTAATGGCTGGAGCAACCACTAACAGACTAACTTACTGCCTTACAATTTCATTGCAAGTCCCCATATCCTTGTATCATACAAAAGGAGAAATAAGAGTGTCCAAACTGTCTGCTCTATACGATTCATTATTTTATAATTAGTTTATAACGTGAATGTGATTTCTCTGTGCAAGTTAATAATCCTATATTGGGTTAAGTAAACTCTAAGGCCAAAGGCCAAATTATTACTCTTTATTATTTGTACTACAGTAATGCCTAGAGGCCCCAACTGAAAATGCAGCCCCATTATACAAAGAGGCCCTGAAAAGCTTACAATCTAACTGGACAAGATAGATAAAGTTTGGGAGAAAAGAAGTATTATCAAAACACAACACAACCCCCATTTTACAGATGAGGAACTGAGTCACCATGATCTTAACGCAGGGGCAGGCAAACTTTTTGACCTGAGGGCTGCATCAGGTTTCCAAAATTGTATGGAGGGCCAGTTAGCAGAGGCTGATGCCTCCCCAAACAGCCAGGCGTGGCTCGGCCCTGCCCCCTATTGGACCCCTCCTGCTTCTTGCCCCCTGACGTCCCCCCTGGGACTCCTGCCCCATCCAACCCCCCTTTTCCCTGTCCCCTGACATCCCCCAGAACCCCTGCCCTTGACTGCCCCCCGCTGCCCCATCCAACCCCACCTCTCTTTCCTGACTGCCTCCTGGGAATCCCTGCCCTCTGTCCACCCTGACTCTTATCCAGACCCCCGCCCCCTGACCACCACCCCGAACTCCCCTGCCCTGTATCCATCTCCCCCTGCTCCCTGTCCCCTTACCATGCTGCCTGAAGCACCGGTGGCTGGCGGCGCTACAGCCACACCACCGCA